TTATATATAATTGTATAAGGTATATTTTACCTAGTGTAGTAATATGTATGTAGATTATTGGTATTCTTTGGTCCTCAGTTACCATTCTATGTTGTTTAATTTGTATAATTGTCGGGTATACTTTTACCAGTGTAATAAATATATATTTAGATTATTGGTATTCTTTGGCCTCAGTTACCATTCTATGTTGTTTAATTTGTATAATTGTCGGGTATACTTTTACCAGTGTAATAAATATATATTTAGATTATTGGTGTTCTTTGGCCTCAGTTACCATTCTATGTTGTTTAATATATATAATTGTAGGAAAGGTATACTTTTACCAGTGTAGTAAATATGTATGTAGATTATTGGTATTCTTTGGCCTCAGTTACCATTCTATGTTGTTTAATGTTTATAATTGTAAGAATGACAAACCTTCACCATTGTGTTAAAAATACATGCAAGTTGTAATTATTATTTTTCCCCAGTTAATGTTTATTATTGTAAGAATGGTAGACCTTGACCATTTTGGTAACTTGCTTGAAGAATAAAAGAATGGCAAATGAACTTGCTGCTTTACTAAAGGGAATAGAAATAGAAGTGGTACTGTTTAGGTATTTAAAGTTACTGAAAGAACAGAAAGATGATAAAGCTCATTGCTAGCCTTTGAAACTTGAATATTATGACATTTGGAATTTAAATGTCAATTTCTCTTACAACTATTGAAGTTACATGCATATTAACTTTTTCCAAATGTTTATTATAAGTGTATAAATTGATGAGCACAAAAAAATCACATGATTTTTAATTGAATAATTGAGAAATCACTATTACATTTTTATTTTGCTTAAAGCTTAATTTACATTGATCAGATGAAGCAAGAGTATGCGTAGAAGATTGTTCCTTAAAAATTTACTGTAATATCGATAATTTTTTATGTTAATTTTGTTTCAGTTTTGCATCCATATATTTTGCATCATTGCTAAAAATAACATTTTTTTCATATTTTTTTAATTTTTATAAGTGGTAGTTTTAATAAAATTTGAATTATTTTCACAAATAATTTTAAAATTGCGTGGATCAAGTATGGGCTACCTTGTTAGTGTGCTCAGGATGTGTATTCGAAGGTTTATGGTTCTTATCCTGTTGCTGCAAAAACACATTCTGCACTCTGGGGACATGGATACAGAATAAGAATGATGGTCAAGTCCTACTACTTGGTTAATCAAGAGTTAGTGGTTTGTGCTGTTGACTAGTTGACTGCCTTCTCATGAACCACGATAGTGGTTCATAAGAGGGATCACCCAGGAATTTCACAAAAATTCTAATTGAACATATGGGTAGAAACCAGCTTAAAAAAGCAGATATTCATTTATTGAACAAATTTAAAACTTACCCTGCTGTATGTGGTTTTTGAGGGTGATTTATAAATGTGATTTAAATCATTTTGAAGTGGGTTTAAGGGGTGGATAACACTTTTATTCTTAATCTTGAGAAATTAAGATCTGTTAATTGATCAATGTCTTTGAATTCTTGATCCATTTATGAATTTGAAGTTTTTAGCTTAACAGCGACTGATGATATATTTAATAAATCAAGCTACATTGCAGTTTTTTGTTCAACTTGAAGTTAAATTTTGAATATTACAACTTTTTTGATAATAATGATAATTATATTAAATGTAATTAAGTTTAATACACAAAGCAATATAATTATTTTCTGTTTAAGCTTTTAGATATCCATCAGGCATCTTAAAGTTATCAGGCTCATATAAATAAGACAGTTAAAAAAATTAATTTTTATTGTTTGTTTAGTTTTACTATAACAAGAACTAAAATGTAAAAATATTTTGAATTTAATTCTAAATTTTTATGAATATAAAGTTTACCTTTTTGTATTTAACATAAATCTAGAATATTTATTGGTTTGCAGATGCAATGAATATGAAATTGATTACTTTCTGAAATGTAATTTTTTTTCCCCAAATAGCTAGTTGCAACAAAAATGAAATACACCTTATTAAATGTCATGCCAAATCCCATACATCCCACTGTAGAATGGGGCATTGAAGATGATAATGAAGAAAATCAAGCTCTCCTTGAAGAAGAGAAACAGAGAATGCAGAAACAGAAACAGTTAGATTCAGAACTAGAAGTTGAACAGGTAGATAATATGAACATAATCTGAATATTCAAAAATTGTAATTTTTGTATATTTTAATCTTAAGAGGGGATACAAGAGTTTCTAGAAATTGTTCTAATATTATTCCCAAAATGTCTTTTTTAAAAGGTGAGTATAAATTATAATTAATACGTAAGGTTAACTTTCAAGCTCAAAATTTGTGTTATATGACAAGTTTTTGACCACATCTCGTGACCAGCATCAGATCAGCTTAAACGGTCAAATGCTTGTGGAATAAAAGATTTTGAATGTGAAGATTAACCCTTTTCTTTGTGTAATAGTTATGTTCTAACATTACTTTTGTGTTACTGTTTGTAATCAGTTAAATCATTATAAGCAGTTTAATATTAAATCACATATGTGATTTATCATGCCACATCTATCGTATACATACCAAAACACTACTTCATTTTATACCACTGTATCTTAGTATTTGGTCTTGGACATATTCAGATGTGGATTATATTGAGGCCATGTTGCATCTATTTTACTGATTGAAGATGCAAGTAATATGCTTTCCAGAAATGTATTTGTTTGACTAAAGGCATTGTTCATAGCATATTCAAATATGAGTCACAGTATATTTCTTATTGATTAGAACACAGTACAGTAGTTTAGGAGCTTTGTTTGTGTATAAAGTATATATTTCAGTAGTAATCACTCAGGATTAGGCATATTTTACAATTATGAGTTATCAAAGTCAGCAACTTCTGATTTGGTTACTTAACCAAGTGTCAGAAAAGTACGAGGATATTCATTTCTTTCCTTAGTTAGCAAGTTTCAGTTTAAAATGGTGATAAGTACATAATGTTAGATCGTTGTAAGATGTAATTTAGGATCTATTTGACTGTGATTTTTAAAATTTTTTTGATGTATCAGTAAATAATTCTACTTATTTTTTTAAGACATCTGATTTTCTAATTTTCTTTGTCAATTTTGATGCTTTCATTTTGTTTCCCTTGTTAGTTGTCTTTTGATGAGTTTTAAATATTTTGAAATAAGTCCTAAATTCTGGTATTAAGAACTTTTTAAGCTACAAAATAACTGTGTTGGTTAAATTATTATCTGTACTGTGATAATGCCATAAAACTCAAAGTAACAACATTTTTCGGTCATGTTCATAATATATTTCATCCTAGGGATGATAATTTTCTACATTTATTTATGAGATTTGCAATGATCCAGAAGTTTTCATAAGCAAGCATTGACCAGTCAGAATTTAGTCAGTATGTTTTTGTGATATTACAAAATGGCATGTTTAGGGTGTGGAATTTTGAAGTGAAAACTTTGTTGAATATTTATATGATAATTTGATTTAAACGTGTAATGAATGGCAAAGGTTATTGAGCAACGTGGTGAAATAAGGGCTAGAGAAGTTAGTAGTATAGTTAAAAACATTGAGGTGAGACTGGTTGAAGAAAGAAATAAAAATTTATTTGTTGTTGGGATTAAGTGGTGAAGCCAACATTGGGAGAATTGATTAAAAATGTTGATTTACTGGGAAAAACTTTATGCATGTAATGTGCAACAAACTTATAAACTATGATTCATGGAATTGCTTTATGATTATGACAGATGGAACTACTAAAAACATATAGAACTGTCAAATATGTGAAAAAAGACAGGAGATTTATCAAATAATTTTTAAACTTTTTCCAGGGAAACAGGCTTTTGTACTACATAGAAATTTAATAGTTACAGTAAAAAAAAAAAAGAATAATAGGTTTATTTTATAAAAACATGCTTCTGGGCCTCCTAAAATGGTGTGCAACTATTGAGATGTGTTTTTTTTTAATTTATTCTCATCCATGTTATCTTTATTTAATTTTTTTACCTATGATCTAACGTTTTGTTTTAACTCTGGGAAATTAACCTTTAGTTACATAAATATGAGTTAGAATCAAGCTGAAAGTATAGTATTTGTACATATAAAAACAGTCTGTGCTTGTTTTGTACATATAAAAACAGTCTGTGCTTATTCTTTCCCTGATATTAAGATCAAGTAAGCTCATAAAAGTAGTTTAGAATATCTGGAAAGTTCACACTTACGACTGATATCTATATATGGGTACCTTACTTATAAATACCAGTAAGCAGTTAGTTCAGGGAAGTCTCCAGTGTGGAGGAATGTAGTACTTGTTGACAGAGAGAGGATTGATCAAGAGAAGTTAATGCTTCTGTAAACAAATCAGTAAGTTAGTCAACATTTACCAGTGAAGGAAATTTCTGTTAAAAGTTATTTGTGTATTAGGCTTACAACTTACATGAAAGTGAATGTAGCCTTGTAGCAAACATTATTTAAGATATTCTTTATCTTCACATGGACTTGGTATTGTTTTTACTGAACAATTAAAACAATCCTGGTCAGTGATAGAATATTTTACTACATTAACCAATGGGTTAAGTCTTATTTTTATAATTGAGTATGTAGCTATGTTGTGGAAACATCTTTTAAGATTAAAATAATAATCTTATTGACTCATCAGCTAAATACCTTTAACTGTAGATGTTTCAATCCATTGAACACGAGAGTAGTGCATAACATTTTCATATATTGACTTCATTATTGAGATCAATAGCCTTATGAAAGAAATGAAATAAGTTTATGATGTAAGCATATAATTTGTTTTACCAAACTGATCATTTATCATTCTTTAATTATGAAAAAAAAAGTCAAAATATGAAAAACAAAGAGAACTAATACTAGTAACTGTTACAAAAAGTTTGTATTTAACCTAAAGTAGGTGCTTATTATTAACTAGGTGATATTAAAATAATACAAGTCTACCATGAATATGCAGTAGGTAAGAAATTAACTAGGGGAGTCTTATACACAGCAAGCTACACTGTAGTTGTCTAATGTTTGGAGTGGGGCTCTAGTCACAACTACAAAACACAAAGAGTTAAAATACAAATAGAGAGAAAGATTTCATGTTCTAAGTCCAAAACACTTAAAGAAGCATCAAGTTTAAATGTTGAAACAAGTATACCAACAAGGCATCATCATTTCATGGCAGGGTGTCAATTACCCTTTGTAGATGGTTTTATTACAAGCTTTCCACTACTGGATGCAACAGTATTAATTAATCAATTTTACTTCAAGGATGCAAAATACCCAAATTTGAACCACATTCTACTTTCACATTTCTGCATTACAGGGCCATGTTCTTTTCTTTTACTGTAAGATGATGTAGTTTCTAATATATATATTCAGTGTTTTAATATTCTTTTTAATTCTGTGTGCTTGTTTTGTAAGATGTAACTCATTTCTCTGTATAAGTGAAAAAACAAAGTTTTTGACTATTTGAACATTATTCAATTCTAAAATTTTAATTTGTAGAAAATATGGTTTAAAAATTAAATAAAAATTTAATAATTATTTCATTCAGAATCAAATTGTACTGTATTTTACATATTGTATACAAGTAAAATCTAACCTTTCATTATAGAAATGCATAATGATGAACAATAGGATGACAGCAACAACAACAAACATTTTATGTGTGTGCGTATGGTAACAAACATGTAATTTTTGAATATTTTAGAATGTACATAGACCATCTTCAGCAAGCTATATTGAACACAGTAAAATATTAGGTAAAAATTTTTTTAAATCCAACATTTTGTAGATAGTAATTAAAACACAAAGTAAAAAGTATAAAGTCAATTAAAAACCAAAAACAAGAAAGAACAGTGCAACAATTATAATAATATTATACAAGTTATTCAGAGCAGACTTAATTGTAGCAAAGCTGTGTTGTTTTTTAAAGTTTGAAGTTCATTTATAATAGATAAACTTTCTTTAATTAAAAGTTCAGTGTTGGATGATTGAGATGAGATGATTGAAATTTTTAATCAAGGTATGGAGGGTGCTGTTGTTCACTGTGTGTGAATTGCGGAGTCTGGAGGATTTGATAGTTATTTACCAGTTGTTTGATATTCCTGTATGTTTGCAGGTGTAATTGGCATATAGTTTTCCAACTTAAGTGGCATTACAGTCACCACATGTATTTATATACAATCCTGGAAAGCATAGGGGTAGGTAATAGGTCTTTAGACCTGAATATATTTTGAAAGATAACACAGGCCTGCGATGGTTTTATTGTCTTGAAATTTTTACATGTTCTACAGTCATTCCTGTACACTGAATCCAAAAATGAAATCAATTATTCTCCATTGTGTACAGATTTTTCACAATATGCCATATGTACTTTTACATAAGTGAATCATTTTCATTGCAATTGGGTCACATTTTGTTATGCTTAACATGTTGACAACTGCTGGCTATAGATTTCTCTAGACCAATCATGAAGTGAGAGTCTTATTGATCATTCTAGAACCCATGAGGAACACACCACTTGTATATAAATGGTTAACATGCTGCATGACATATCATTTATGGATAGTATTTGACTGTGCATGCACTTTGACATTATTTTTTTCTTTTTAATATTATTTATTTGTTGCTATGGCAACAAGAGGCTGTGTAAATGATCCAAACATATTCTGTTATATTTGTTGTAAAGAAACAGTGGCAAAATATTACATAATTTGTCAAAAAAAGCATATTATGCGTATTTTGGAATAAAACTTGGGGACCAAGACAAATCATGGGCTCCATACAAAGTTTGCACCATTTGTGTTGAAGAGCTGAATCAATTGAGACTAAAGGTAAAAAAAGACTTTACTTTTTATAATTCCAATGGTTTGACGTGAGCCTAGGAACAACAGAGATGACTGCTATTTTTGCTCATGTAACGTGAAAGGCTACAACATTTGAAATAAAAAGGAAATTTCTTATACGAACCTTCAATTTGCTATAAGACCTGTTGTACCTGTACCTACTCCACCGGAGATTCATGATACAGTTTCCTCTGATTCTGAATCTGTTGTCGATAGAAATGGGGATTATTTTCAAACTGAAACGTCTGGTGAACCACAACTTTTCACGCAAGGTAAACTTAATGAGTTAGTGAGAGATTTGGTCCATCCAAAGGATTCTTCAGAGATTTTGGGGTCCAGACTTTGGTCTGAGAACTTACTTTCTCTAGGGACATCATTTTACTGGTACAGAAATCATGAGAAAGAGTTTATATTATACTTTTTGCAAGAAGGTTCACTGGTTTATTGCAACAGTATTGCTGAATTAATATCAATGCTAGGAGCTGCAGTCTATGAACCAAGTGAGTGGCGATTGTTCATTGATTCATCCAAAAGAAGTCTAAAAGGTGTTCTCCTTCACAATGGTAACATATTTGCATCTGTTCCTATTATTCATTTGGTTCACTTGAAGGAAATATATGAAAATCTCGAATTTCTTAATAAGATCAAATACAAAGAACATGGTTGACCACTTTGTGGAGACTTAAAAGTCCTTTGTATGTTGTTAGGTCAACAATCCAGTTATCCAAAATTTCCTTGTTTTTTTTGTGTGAATGGGACAGCAGAGCATGAAATCAGCACTGGATAAAAAAGTAATAACTATGCAGAGTCAGTCTGGTTTAAAAACAGTGAACATGAAAGTTTGGTTGACACAAAGAAAGCACTATTACCTTCACTTCACATAAAACTGAGCTTGATGAAGCAGTTTGTAAAGGCCTTAGACAAAGATGGCGACTGTTTCAAGTATCTATGTGGGTAATTCCCAACTTTTTTCAGAAGCAAAACTAAAAGAAGGGATTTTTGTTGAGCCTCAGATTAGGAAATTGACTTTGGATGGATAGTTTGACAGGGCAATAAGGAAAGCTGAAAAAGAAGTGTGGATTGCCTTTAAAGATGTTATTGACAAATTTTTAGAAAACAACATAGACCTAAATTATGAAAATATTGTCAATAACATGCTCGATAAATTCAAAGAGTTGGGTTGTAATACGAGCTTGAAAATTCATTTCTTACACTCGCATATTGACTATTTCCATGAAAATCTTGGTTTTGTGAGCGAAGAACAAGGGAAAAGGTTTCATCAAGACATCAGGAAAATGGAGAAGGAGGTTTCAGCGAAGGTGGAACATCAGCATGATGACTGATTACTGCTGGTCATTGAAACAAGATGCTCCAGACGCAGTACATAAAAGAAAGACTACAACACATAGTTTTGAGATTAAAAGATGTCGATTTCTCAAAAAAATCAGGATGAATGAAGAAGCATATTCATTTGATATCAGTGCTCTTCCCTTTTCTTCAGCTTGTTTGTATTTTTGTTAACAAATGTAATAATAAAATATGTTTATTGCGATAAATGAATTAATAATTTGATCTAAGTAAGAGTTTTTCTTTCCATTTTATAAAAAATCCTTACATAATAGAAAAAAAATGAATATTATTTTTGAAATCTGCGTAGCTGAATTATGGAAAATCCGTTATTAAAACCAAAACAACTTTTATGGAGTTTAAATTCACAGGCCTGTGTTATTTAAATATTATTTGTAGTTTAACCTGTGGATAAAAAGTTTTGATTATTCTAAAGTGTGTGACTTAAGTATGAACTTTGTTTACCTAAAAAGGGATAATCAGTCTTAATGGGTATTTGTCTACAGTAATTGGTTTCTTTGGGAGCTCAATTTTGTTAGAAAGGAACTTGCATGTTAGGGCTTGAATGAAATGCAAGGAATAGCCATTGTTTATTAGAATGTTCTGTAAGGTGGTTATTTCAGTACGAAGAGAGACGTAGTCAGAACAGATATTATATGTTCTATTGAGATGACTGAGTGTAAGGTTACGTTTAAAGGAGCCCAGAATAAAATTGTCGAAACGAGTATGTAAGCCAGTATATCTTTTCTTACAATAAACACATCCACAATTCACACACATAGTGAACAAAAACAACCACCTCTTCTTGATTAAAAATTTCAAAGCATCTCAATCATCCAGTATTGAACTTTTAATTAAAGAAAGTTTATCTATTATAAATGAACTCCCAACTTTAAATAAAAACACAACTTTGCTACAGTTAAGTCTGTTCTGAATAACTAACATATTTTATTTTGTTACAATTGTTGCACTCTACTATTCTTTGTTGTTTTTGTTTTTTAATTGACTTCATCCTTTTACACTGTATTTTAATTACTCTTTACAAAATGTTGGAACTTTAGATATTTTTGTACCTAATATTTTACCTTGTTTAGTATAGCCTGCTGAAGATGGAATATGTACATTATGAAACTTTCAAGAATTAAATGTTTGATACTGCACACACACACACACACACATGTCAAATGCCTGTTGTTGCTGCTGTTGTTCTATAATTCATCATTAAACTTTGATTCCTATTGAATGAATCTGTTGTTAGAGGTGCATAATATGAGAGTAAGTTAAATATAATTAAGTTAATTAAATATGTAAATGGCTATCTTACATAATTGGTTTTCATTATTCATTTAGTAATGTACATGTGATCAGACAGTCTCCCTATTTTTGATAGAATTATTTTTATTTTTCTTTTGCATTCCATTTTTAAATGATTTTCTTTCCTTACTGTTAGAAAGGATGGCCTAGAAAAATGTGTGTATGTAAAGTATTTAAACAACTAAAATGAATAAGTGTGTATTTTGTAACACATAACTGATTAAAATAAAACTTTTTTCTGACAACTTGTTAATTGTGCAACAGTTCTAGCATTTTAATTCCTTGTTTTCTTATTTATGACTTTAACTTTATGTAAAAACATTTATGTATTTTAAATTCGATGACGAGGAA